CACACAACACCACACAAAAAAAAACACACACAACAAAAAAAAAAAGAAAAAACCAAGCGTGGATCACAGTGGCACCGACACTTTTCTTGGAGTTTGTCGGCTTAAGTTAGTCATGCTCTAACAATTTTTGAGAAAATCTAAATTCGGGCATGCATGCACGATAACAGGTAATGATATTTCCGCTGTTACTAAACGTATATTAAAGTATTCATAGACTTCAAATTTGGCTAAACAGGGAAGAACAGTACAAAAGCATGATTAAAGAGACGCTGAATGATTTTTAATTAAATATATACTGTTAATGCTGGTATATTGACACCCCCTTAAGAAATGCCTTAGATTCTTGTTTATCTAGGGACTGCCCTTACAACATCCATCGAAGGCAAACATAATGAACAGGAATGGAGGTTTACGGTAATTTAACATTTCTATTTATCCATATCACTTAAAAGGTCCTTACAAAAATGGTATAGTAACTTGCTAAGAAAGCATTTTTCCCATATCAAAACATAAATAATCTATCACCGTTTATGCTGTTGCTTTTGGTAAACGGACACGTCAAGACGACTGTGTTGTGGAACACCAGCAAGAAAAGGGCAAGGTGAAATGCTTGACCTTTCCCTTTGAGGTTCATTCATCCATCTCAGAAGGCCAGCCAAGAAAAAGGAGTTGCAAAAGGGAAGGCATGGGACAGAAAAGAAAAATGAACCACAGTGTCCTCCTTATGTCATCCAGCCTATTGTGAGAGACACAAATCTGAGCAGTGATGCCTCAGCGGGGGATCTTTGTATGCTCATCTTCATTGATTTGGCTCATCTATTCATGAGACGGGGACATTGTTTATCCACACACTACTGGAACAAGCTCGCCGTCATTCCCTCGTAAGCAATGGGACCTGGGAACTGGTGGAGAATGCCACCAAGCACACCCATCCGTCTGTCTGAGCACCTGCTCACACTTGCCACCTTCCAGGATTAGCCGTCACCATGATGCCAATGCCAGCCCGTGCGCTGGCACACCGGGGGTGGGGGTTCTATGTTTGGGTGGGGGATACCAGCCGGGGAACCCTCTTTGTGAGGTGCAGACACAGCCACAGCAGACAGCCTGCCTCTATACAGAGGTGCAGGGCCTGTAAGCTGCTGTGCCTTCATGCAGCTCTGACCATTTTGACACAAATGCGCTCTGACAACTGGGGCTGCTCCCTCATAAATAACATCAAAATGGAGGGAGTGTCCTGATGGCTCCACGGGCCACTGTAGACTTGAATTGAGCTCATGGTCTGAGTCGGATTAACCACTTGTCTTTCTTCAATCTTTTGTGTTGCAGCTGCTTGCAGAAATCCCAATTTTTAAACAACAAAAACCCTAATTGATATGGAAGGGAGGAGGGGAGCTAAACTAATGTTGTAGGAAACAAAATAAAAAATATATTTTGGTATAGGTAGAGCCTTCTCCTCAACTTTGCGAATTTGTTTTTCACTTTTATACAAATTTCAAAAACATTGTTTGCTAGCTAGTTTGCTGAGTTGACACTAGCTCAATGTTTGTGGGGTTTTCACAGCCTTTAAAGCTATAAGAATGCTGCTGGGATGCTGTACCTTGAATGCTGATGTACTTGTAATTGGCAATTACAGGTATTTAGGTTATGCTACAAGTGGTCAAAACAAAGCCAGTAACGTCCAAAAACAAAGCAATACTGTTTATGCAGTATTTGCATGTTTCTCAGTGTTTTTGAGAAAACATAATGGTGAGTTATCTTTGTAACAGATGTAAAGACACTCATAAGTTGAACCTTTGCAAAGCAGTATAAATCACCAACATTCCACTGTTAAAGCCTTTACTAGGACTTACATCTCTATTGTTGACTAAATCATTTAATTTATATATCTGACATAAATAATGATTAAAAGTACTTTTTGTAGTTTCAAAGGGTCTGTTTGACATAACAGGCCTGCTTCAAGCAAAACAAGCTCCACAGTAAGCTCCCTATTAGGCACCATATGGCAACTGAAAGAGATAGTGGTAAACAAAGTCTTGCAAGCTTAAAAACCCAGACGATATATCAGGGGCCGTGGTGGAGAACAAACCAGAGCTAAAATATTGACCTTGAATTCCTAGGTTTACCTAAGGCATGAATACAAAGTAATAATGCAATTGTGGTTGTTTCAGTAGGACCTTGTGTTTTCCGTGCCCAATGAAAAAAATGCAATGTTCAGTATTTTTAGCCAGTTGTTTAGAGTATTAAGTAACAGAGCTATACCCACAAATCAAAGCAAAGTGAATCACCATCAGCTATTTTTAAACAATGTTTACATGTCTTGTAGTTTATTGTAAGGGAAATTATACTGGTGTACAGTATAGTGTGTCCACCTGTTGAACATCAAGTTCTTATTAGACATTTGGGAAGTTGTCATCCAAATGCCTCTGGAATGAAGGCATACATAGCATTTATTCCGTTTTCCCCCTTGTTTTGTTGCAGCTATTGCAGTTTCTAAAGCAGTCAGTATGGAGCGTAAGGCACTGAAAGATTGTAATATGATTATACACATCCAGATCTCAAGTGGTCTGAACAACTTGAACTGTAGCCAAACCATTCCTTATATTTAAACATACTGCATAACATTCAAAAAATAAGAGTGGCAGCTGTAGTGTACTTATGGTATTAGTCAGGCTCATTTACACAACAATATGGAACATTTAAAATGCACGAATGTATTAAAATAAGAATAGGTTTACCATCTTTTAGTTTATACATACCTTTCTACTAAAAGTATTATATTGCAGTACTTCTAAGCTAACAGCTCTGTGCCAAGGGATGGAAGCTGAATGAAATATTTCCCTTACGTCAAGCGACAGAATGAATACTGCACACATTTACATGAGCTTCATAGAGTAACAGTGTGCGGTACATAATAAATGCAAGGTTTCTGGCTGGATGCCAGATCCTCCAAAACAAGCCACACTGCCCATCTGCCTTTTTCACCAGGAAGAAATGTCCTCATAGATGGAAGTAAGTGATCAGTCTGACAGCAGAGCTAAATGCTACTAACACCACAAAAGGTTGATGTATACAACAACTGAAAATAAACTAATCCTAATTGTATTACAACTATAATAAAAGCAGTCAGTACAATACTTTTTTGACAAATACTTAGCAGGGTTGTAGTTAAAAACACAACATAAGTAATACTAACTTAACTTTGTGCAGCAGGGGCCTTACCTACACCGTTAAGATGCATCTTAACATTTAACATATTTATGATTTTCAAGTTTGCATCTGGTAATTCTACCTCCTCCAGACTCTCTGTTTCCCGATGGCACACATGAGCCCTGTAGTTATTTGACTTTCATATATGCCTCCTCTATTCCATATCTGATCAGGGAACCCTATCAGCATCAGTTTGATTAACCTAATTATTGATTTGCCTATCTGTAAAGTGCATGTAAAGCGTTATACAGTAAACATGTATCTTTGTAGGTTAAATAGATTCCTATACAATGTATTAAATACATATGTATGGCTTGCATTGGCAAATGACTCAAACACAACAGTACTACCAACAATAACTTGTGATATCTCATGAAGCTAAACATGATAATTAACTTAACAGCCATCAAGTCTGTGGAGAATGTACATTAGATAGATTAAGAAGGTTTTTTTGTGTGAATGACACTAAACTGTTAAAGTTCACTGTTCCCATGATGAGTGTATCACTCCCACTTAAAAAATACTGGGGCATAACTGCACAGGGAATACATCAACAAATCGCTCGTAAGACTTGGAAATCGACCAGAGACCACAGAATGGTCATATATTTATAATAGGGACACATATCACGTTTAAAAAAAGGCATTCCAATTTAAAAAACGCGGCAAAACATGTAATCCCCATCTCCTTTAAAAAAAAAAAACTCTGGGTGTTCACGTCCACACTAGCCTTAATTATTTTAGGCTTAGACAGGCCATGGTAAATACATTTGATTGAACAAAGGCTTTTATCTTAGTGAGAACCACTAAACGGTGGCAGATATCAATCTCAACAACAGCCCTCAGTTTCTGGCTGAAAGGGATTTATACATTGCGTAATGCCGCTGCTAATTTCAAATCTGCTTCTTCGTTGCTAGTGTTAGCTGATGTTGTGTGCATACTTTGAATTCCTTTCCACCACGGTCTTCCCGAATAAATATATTTTTGGTAAACAGAGTGCTGCACAGGGCTGCTTATCGAGCCGCTTATCATTAGTTTTGTAAGCACATTGCGTCAGCCTCGCCCAAATTAAGCTAAATTAGCCAGTGAGTTTGATGAAGGCAGCCTAAACACCGTTAGCTAACTTGGCTAGTTACTGTCGAACCGGCTGAGGCAGGCGGAAAGTTCACCGCGGACTTGCGAATCGTGGTTCGTAAATCTCAGCAGCAGATAACCTACGTATACACTTATCCACCGCTTACAAACAGCTACCACTTTAAATGTGAATAATCTGTAGTATTATCCATGCCACAATGAAAATAATCGCCATCTCATTATCCGAAGGCGTCCGATCAAAGCCCTCAGTCACAGGGAAAAAAACAGGTCTGTCTCGATTGTAACGGTGCAGCCTCCAGCCTTACTTCAAATTATCCCGCATGTTTTGCTGGCCTCGACTCGGCAAACAAACTTGAAAAACCCCCAACGCTGTCGAGTTATTAAACATCAGTAATATAAGTGTTCGTACAATAGAAAACAAGCCATATTTTTCAAACGCACGTTGAGGAGAATTGATTTTTTGTTCTAGCGTCATTCCCAAGCCTCACAGCTGGACGCCTGGATTCATATACCATTGTTTTGCTTGGTTACTTGATCTTGGCGATACTCGTTTAAAAACTGGTTTTACCGTTAAGAAATCCAGTGCTAACCTATTTAAAGGTGGTTTTACGAAATATCCCGGTTTCCCTCCTAATGAGTCAACTTACTTGAAAAAGAAACGTACTCCAGCTCGGCTCCATTTCCACACTTACTAATTCTGTAGGAAACCTTGTAGAAGCCTACAACAAAGCAACCAAACATGGCAGCTGAAACAACTTCCGGTAACCTCACGGGCTGAACCATTTCACATACTATTTAGGGGGGTGCGTTTTAAATTTAGTACGTTAAAACATAATAGGTGTAATTGTTTTCGTGGCTCATAAAATATATACAAACAAAAAAAGGCTGAAAACGTAAACATAATTCAGAAATACATGTGTAATACATTATGGGAATCGTGTCCCTTGTGTCACATAATTAATTCGATGTAGTTGGATTTCTAAACTCCCCTCTGCAGGTTTTTCGCTGAATCTGCGAGGGGCATTTGTTATAGCAGTCGGACGCTGTCGCATGTGGTTGGGATATGAATGTGTTTCAGTAAAGCTACATTTGTTTTTATAAGAAAGTGATGCGCAAAGCTTTTTGTTCTGCATTACAAACATTGGGGCTTGCTTCTTTCCCACAATGAAAAGTGTTAAAGTCCAAACGGAGTAAGACATAATCCGCATGCGCAGCAGTTTATTTTCATTCATAGGATGGGGATGAATGAAAACGACAGAACCCATTAACTGGACAAATTGCCTCCAGTGGACCAACATAACACACCCAGTCTATTCCTTGACTGTGAATTGACCATTTACACTGAATTAACTTCTATTTTAAATGTATGGCTGTGTTTATTATGATTTTGAAATCATAGCAATGAATAAAAAGCTGCTATAGCTGTTCAAAACATAAAATAAATAATTATTCTGATTATTCTCAACACTGGGCCAGTAACTAGAAAGCATACATTTAAAAAAATGTACTCACAATTTTGAGTAGTTAACATCCGGCAGTGGCTCAGTCAGTAGGGGCTTGGACTGTGAGCCGTAGGGTCACCGGTTCAAGTCCCCCACCAGACCTAAATATGGAGTCTGGGCTGCTACTTGGAGAGGTCCCAGTTCACCTCCTGCCCTGACGTGGTGCCCTTGAGCAAGGCACCGGACACTAGGGCTGTACCCGAATATTCGTTCGTTGGATTACTATTCGGGTTTCAATTTCGTTATTCATATATTCGTTTTGTTTGTTTTTCCCCGTTTTTTCTCTCAAA